CTCAAAAAAAAAAAAAAAAAAAATGGCTTTTAACCTTTCAGCTCAATACCTTCCTGATGCTTCACTTTGCATGTTAACATTATTTTAAAATCATGGTTGAACCGATTTCTGAGGCCCAGGCCACTCTTCTAAGTGCTGCGTGGGTATGAGCTCATGTGAGGCTGCCCTAGGCCTGCCGGGGCCATTCCCATCTTACAGAGGAGGGGCCAGAGGTGCAGAGAGGTGGGGTAACCTGCCCAGGCCACAGAGCTGGGGGCAGATGGAGCTGGGGCCCCTTTCCAGGCCAGCCCTGTCCAGTCTCTGCATCACAGGGCCCTGCAGGAGAAAGCTGTTGGGGACTGGGCTCTCTTTTCACTAAATTTTAAAATCAGAACATTTCTCCTGATCATTGCGTTCTTTCTCATATTCCATGTTACTGGTCATGTTCTAAAAGATGAAGAGTGACCTTGGAGTGGAACCTGTCTGGGGCCATCTGCTGACTCTGGAGTCATCCTTGGACGATATGATTCATCTTGTGCTTCAGAGACCATTCCCTCCCCACACCCTCTCCTAAGACTTTGTATTTAAACAAAGCAAATCTTACAGAAAGTCCAACAAAGCACTGTAAACAAAATGCCTGATTGCCCCAATCATCCTTTGGTTCAATTCTCCCAGTTCCTGAGCTCAGGAATGGCGAGAAGCACACCGAGGGAGCACCCTCTCAGGGCGGGGAGCACCCGCCTGGCCATGACTTTCAGTGGACAGTCTCAGCAGGGGGCCTGGGCTGGTGCAGGTGGGGAAGGTGGCCCATTCAGAAACAGCAGTGGGGCAACCACACAGCAGGGCAAGTAGCGTGGCTGGGAGTGGGGATAGCAGGGAAACCAGAGGGAAGGAAGTCCGGGGCTGGGGCTGGGGCAGAGGGAGGCCAGGGCTGAGGCCCAGCAGGACCACCAGACAGGAAGGGGCCGGAGGGACCCGGGCGGACTGAGTGGGCAGCAGTACCTGATCTGTGGATTCATGTTCAGCCTCTTAGATATGCTTGTCCCAGTCCCGCTCTTTTTTCTGAAGCGCTGTGGTTTCACTTCCTGCTTACAGCGCCCTTGCAGTTGGGCAGCCCTCCTTAAAATGACCTCCCAGCCAGGCACGGTGGCTCACACCTGTAATCCCAGCACTTTGGGAGGCTGAGGTCAGGAGTTCCAGACCAGCCTGACCAAAATGCAGAAACCCTGTCTCTACTAAAAATACAAAAATTAGCCGGGTGTGGTGGTGGGCACCTGTAATCCCAGCTACTCGGGAGGCTCGCTTGAACCCGGGAGGCGGAGGTTGCAGTGAGTCAAGATCGTGCCACTGTACTCCAGCCTCGGTGAGAGAGCGAGACTCTGTCTCAAAAAAAAGTGATCTCCCAAGGCCTTGTGAGTCTTGGCCCCTCCCCCTTCCTGTTCTGGCGCTGGTGTGGGAGGCCATGGGATGCTTATCTTAC